CGCGCGCTCTGATTGGTCGGGGTTTTCGCTTGATATCTCCTTAACGAAGCCTCATCCGACATTTTTGCAAAGGAAATTGTTGTTCAGAATCGTCTCAGCTACCCCCCATTTCCGGCTCCTCCCCGAGTTTTGGGACACCCTGTATAGTCTTAAAAGTACAATTAGACTACAGTAGTATTTATGATTATTAAACGGTATACGTAAATATTATTCGTGGCGAATGATTTTTCTGGGGGCGAGGTCTCTCCTGTTTCCCCTACTTTTTCACCGTTTCGTTTCATGGCCCACATTCCTTCAGCTCGGGGAATATCGCGTTCGAGTTTTCTTGCAATTTTATGGTTGATGATATGCACTTTTACGGTTTATTTAACAGCACCCTAATTTTGGACGAAACTGATAATTTCCTGGAACTTACTCTTGCCTTATTGGATCAAGCCACACCTCTATCGATCAAAGTACGTTGAAAATAACACCTGATAAGTAGCTGATATTTGTCTTCATCGTTCCATCCTTGTTCATTAAATTTGAACTATAATATGTGTTGATCACCTCTTCAGGGACAATTGTTATTATCAATTTTTTGTATTATTATTATCAACAGTAATTATAATGGTGGAAAACTAAACGTCCAAATATGTTACCAAGGACACGAAGAAGATCAAGGTACAGACATGTGAGAATAAAGTGTATAGAATTCCTTTGGTTTTCGTTGAAGTAAATGGAACTTGCCTCTCCTAACGTGGATAGTTTTCTCTTTACCAGCAAGCGCCCTTCCCTTTAATTAATAGCGAGCTTAATAACCATTTACCTTGGTATGTTCGTTCGAAAAAAATAGCAGTCCTGTGTTCGCTTTCAAAGCAAATTTAATCAAGTGTAATGTAACATTTCCGCGAGCAGTAGCGTGAAATTACTATCGCGAACGCAGAAACAGAAACAGAAGCGCTTTTTGTAAATAAATGTTGGACTCTTCGCTACGCTCAATTACAGATTCGTGTCTCAATCGTTGCAGCGATACATTCCGAATGAAATGCAATCAATTCTAAACGGATTAATTATGCCGTTCTAAACAGGTTTCAAGCATTTCATTTCATTTCGATATAACAATGATTCACGCTTCGCGGTCGTATTAAAGGGTCTAGCAGGATAAGGATAGGCAATCGCGCAATTTTCATTGCTATTATGTGCCGTGCCATGCTTTTCCCATAAAACATCATCCCACAAAGTTTCAGACCGTTGTGAGAGTAAACACCCTCAACTTTGTTATTTATTTTTTTTCCTGGTTACCATTTCGGATATTAAAATTCTGCAAAAACGAAAATATTCGTACTTCTAAACTGCATCTCGCTATATTTTTCTCAGGATGTTTTGTTTAATTATTAAGGGGTAGGATATAAATAATTTATTTTTCGCGGGTGGTAATTGCAACACAAACCTGTGAGCGAGACCTACCAAAAAAATTAGTTAAAAAAAAAAAAAAATTAGCAAGTGAAGGCTTTCATTTTATAATATTGTTTCGCAGACTATATTTCAGCAGGTCTTGCAACCAATCTGTATTTGTATTTTTAATATTAAAGAAACGTCGAAGTGTAGGAAATACGATCCACATCTTTGTATTTAAATCTGGACAATATTCGTGCTTGTACTTTCTGTGCAAAAACAAAAAATCCCCCAAAAAACTGCTTCTTTGATCACTTGCCAACGGGAATTCACGTTTTACGTTGGAAAAAATCGCACCTTGAATATGTCACGAGAAAAGCCGTATTACGTACGAAATGACGTAATATTTAAACGCGTCTCCCTCTCGCGTCGTAGACGACATTACAGGTAGCGTACCGTCGGCATTCCCAGTTATCCCGAGGGACGAAGGTGCACTGAATATTGAAGATCTTTGAGACTAACCGGGACCCATTCAGCTTGCCAACTTCTTTTTGAAACGTTTATGCTCGCTACTCGATTATCTGACCCCTTTACCGGTATCTTTTATACGTTTTTCTATGGCCGATAGTCATCTATTCGCAAACAGTAGGTTTTCTACGAGTATTTTATCTACTTGCACTCGCAAAATATTAGCAATCCCCTCGTTTCGTGCAGGTTCTAATTAATTAAAAGCATTAGATAGTGACATTTACAAGGATTTGATAAAAGGAGCGTTATCCTCTTTTTGGAGTAACATTTAAACGTATGTCAAAGAAGTTTTTGTAATTTTGAAAATTTTTGATCGCGTAATTGTTTAAAATCAAGCGTTACTTTTTTTTTCGATAAATTACAACTAGTCAAATGGAAAACGAATAGGAATATTTTGGGTGATAATAGTGCCGAATGTAATGTTATTTCGGTTCTCTTGTTCTGCATAGGTTCTAATTAATTTAAACAGAAGCATCATATAGCGCAGTTATAAGGATTTGATAAAAGGGACTTTAGAATTTCATTTTTTTATATGCCACGAATGATATTGAATATGTCCGATTTTTTATTCACTTTAAATGAAAGTAGACATGTTTATAATCGAATATAAGAGATGATGTCGTTAAAATGTTCACGATGACTACTTTGACATGTATATTCCGTTAATAACATAGAAAAATCCTGAAACTCCTTCACTTTAATTAATAAATACCATCTTTATCAATTTCTAAATTAATTAGAGCTATAGACATAATTAGATGCGTGAACTCTGAAAAAAGAGTCACGTCGTTTTCCAGAGTACACAAATCTTCGGTTTCGTTATTTTGTCGTTAACGCGTGACCCGAGGCAAAGGAAACTTCCCTGGATGAACTGTGCAGGTCATGAAATACGGTATAAAGCGTCATTTCAAGATCGCCTATTACAAAGGATGACGACAATATATCAGTGGTTCTGCTGGTCGATAACAATGATTGGCTGGTCTTCGCTTGACCCCCTTTCCTTGCTCACGTTCCCGAGCCTCACCCGATGTTATAAATCGGCATTCCACCTGACGAAAATACTTGTGCAGTTTCGTGACTACCGTGTGACGTAATTGCTGGTCTACTATCCTAATGAAAATTGAAAACTCGAGCAGACGTTAATTAACACGAGTAACGTAACCTGGAACGAAACCGATCATAACAACATCGGTGTTTCAATATTGCTTCTGCTTTTCGTATCAAAGTGTACCGACGATTATGATTAATTTTCTTGCAAAAGCCACTCCCTTTTCTTTGTCAGTTTTTAGGCAATTTTCACAACTTTTTGCAGCCAATACTGCTTGACGTAAACTTTTAAAACGCTCCAACGTAAAAACGCAATAAAAGTACTATCTACTTTTGAAACTTTCACAAAATTATTATGCAAATAGCAGTAACGAGTTACTATAGAGGGTGTCTCCTACATTTCCGGCAAGATTGTAGAACCATGATCTACGAGTGAAAACAAGACAGAACGTTATATGAAGTTTGTTCATATACGCTTCGTTACGATATTATAAGCAAATATTCGATGTGACTTTTTGCTATGTGGAACGTTAAAAAACTTTTTGACTTCTACTTACAGAGAACGCTAAAACAGAAGCTGTACAATACAGCGGTAAATATACGTGAAGAATTAATTCGACGAATTACTAGTTCGGTTGTCGAGATGCAGCAAAATCCTCAGGAAATTCAAAATGTACATTTCAACGACACGTGGACAAAATATGATATAGGTAGGAAATAGAAAAAGCTTTAAAAGGAGTCTTTCGTTATTGTTCATGTGGAATTTAACAGAGCAAACACAATTTTCTTCTTTTAATCCTTGTTTCTTCAAACTCGGGATTGTAAACAAACAACCAATAACACAGTTAATAGCTTCGTAGGTTTAATTCGCTGGAATTAAAAAATGTATATGAATATATGGTACATGGTACACGAAGCGATAAGTGTCTGGGTAGGATTGAAAATAGATGATCATTTTTTTTATCGAGACACGTAGACGTGGGGTGGTTCGGAATTTTAGGCGAGGACGCAGTACTTGAACATTTTACTAACAATATGGCGTTGAGGGGCGTCTCAAGTATCACGTAAAGTGGTTCATCTTATTGTTGGGTGAAAGGTGCGATAATGAAGGCTCCTACCTAGTTGATGATCACTTATTGATTATTCTACAAGAGAAACTGCGCTCTCGAGACTCTTGGAAACCCCATGAATTTTGTTATCCAGCTGACAATGACAATGCTTCATGAATGAAATTGTATAAAAACTTTTTAAAGTAGAAATCAAATTCCCTTTTTCTCTTATGAAATTATTACAGTATTGATGTTTGACTTCTCGAAACATCATGTATGTATTTATGATAAATATAGATTGTCTTAACTTCAAAATTAAACATTTTATTTATAAAATTAAAAACTTTCCTGTTTGGTAATAAATATATGCATGATGTTCTGAGAAATGTCATAAACACTTTTATCTCAATTAAATTATACCAACGATGATTATATATATATATAAATAAAATTATAAGTATTATAATATATAAGTATTATATATATAATCATCGTTGGTATAATTTAGTTGAGATAAAATTATAAGTATTATATATATATAATATAATATATATAATAAATATATATTATATATATACACACTGTATAATAATATATAATTATATTAATTATATATATATAAGTTTTATATTTATTATATATATATTTTATATATATTATATATATATTATATAAATAATATATATAAAACTTGGCAAGAATGCCGATAGGAACTGTTGGTATTTGAAACTATAAAAGAAGAGTAATAATAGATATAGTACTGACCTATTTCGTTATTTTTTTTAATTGTTTCAGGCCAAACAACGTGCCTCCGTAAAATGGCTCCTGTCGAAGGCGTACAACAACCGAGTGCCAGAAAACCTTCGTGAGCCGTATTATGTCGATCACGAGGTACGTAATATTACTCTTCTACGATGCAAGGAACACAGTCGACATTGTATTTCGCTGCTTCTCATTAACGCGAACACGACTTATCCAGTAATTACGTGATATTATATTCAAAGAGGATTCCAGTTCATACGCTCCCATTTCTGTCGCGCATCTTTTACTATCTCCAATCTGTTAACTTTTGCTTAATTCACTGAGCAAAAAGATTCGATCAATCCGGTGTTCTACCAGTCGAAAAGAATACCGTAAATATTAGAAATCGTTGCCTTTTTAATAATACATTAGAAAATTGATAACAATTTTATTAGCAGAGTATTTTCATTTTTTTGTTATGTATTTGGCGAGAGAACAATGAGTCTATGATATTCTTTCGCAACAAATTTTCGGGTCAGATTGTCTGACTTTTTTTTTTTTTTTTATCTCTATTGCATATTGTTTCCATTATTTCTGTTCTATGGAAAGGTGTGATATATTGAGACAGTCATGTATATTGATGTTGAGTCTTCTAAATTGAAAACTTTTTCTAAACAGACCTTATTCTTAAGACTTATTTCTATTCTCTTTTCATCGACAATTGTTATGTAATAAATATTGAAACGTGACGTGAGTCTTTTTTTCCAAAATATTGCACACCGAAGAAATGATGTCTTACTTATAGATATCAGTTTCAAAGTCATATTCATAAAAATTAGAGTCATACGTATCTACAAGCACCATACTATGTGCCTTTCAAACTTATTCCTGCATTTATTTCTCATTTAAAAATCGGAATCGACAGAAATTATTTCAGAATTTACTTGCTTCTTCGATTTAATTATTCTAGTGATGCTTGAAATCGTTGATCAGAATAATGCCAGCGAACGAATACACGTCTATTAAACGACGACTTTTTACCTCGTACATTGTTCCACTCAAGAACACATCTCGTTAGTCGATTGATTAAGGATCATCCCTTTCGGTGAAATTCTCATTTGCCTAAGTGCGTTCGCTGCTAACGAAGCGAAGGTACATACCGTTCCTTCGTTCGTCGACGTCGACGTGAGCTCCTCGATGACCGAAAGACGGTATCCTCAGCTTTGTAAGGTATCCTGAAAACTCTTTTGTGGCACGCGTCATTATTTCGGAATGGAGAAAACCGATCTCACCGTGAAAGCCGTACGAAGTTGTTGGGCGTTGCTGTTCGGGACGTGCTAATAAACTTTTCTGAAAAGAATTCGATAATTAGCAATAGGATCCTTGGGAAACTTACTACGAAGAAACACAAAAATCTTATTGCATCAAACGCGATATGACTTTACGTAGCATGCCTACTTTGAATCGACGTTTTTACCATGGAGCAGTGTGCTTTTTCATTTCACGTTTCTGCCCTTTTTTTTTTATTACGACTCTGCGTTGCACTTACGTAAAGTGTAAATATTTAGATTCCGTTTGAAAATGTAACTCCACTCGTCGTTGCAGTGCACAGAGTCACTGTATTTACGTGATACGCGATTCCTGATGTCATCGCGCGTACCAGCTGCTCTCGCGTTTCGGGCGTATCGTTTTTGTGAATCTTTGACTTTCCACGAACCGAAATGTGTAACGTATGAATAGAAGACTAGGCGGAACATCAAGGTGGACCGATAATGCCACAGCTGTCGTGGCTGTCACCGTTGTCGCGCGAGCATCACCGCACACTGCATCTTCATCAAAAGCTGACATATATGTACAGCTGCTTAACAGTTTGAAGAACTCTTGAAGTAAACAACAAATTCTCTATGCGTTTAACCCGTCAATTCCTAAAAACGCTCTGACCGAACTTTTTTTTTCATATTTTTTCATTTAAATCTGTTAAATTACGTCTGAAACTAATTAACTGTCTAGGTGGTACCGCTATGGAAAAACTATTTCTGTTACATCCCTTACATGACGTTGAGTTTGCTCTGCAAACTCAAGATATGATTCAGAAAAAGTACAAAGATAATTAAAAAAGCGGCCTTTTGGAATTGACCGGTTGAAATTATTTGATATCCAACAAATGTAATCGAATCAAAATCTATTTAATTCTTAGGAATTGAACAATCAAGATACATATGTAGACGAATTTGAATTATTATCACGATATTTATTGACTTATTTCTGGTATGAAAGTTTATCTAAATAAAAAGTGTTTCAAAAGGGGCTTTGTTGATCGTTTAAGAAGTTTTCTAAAAGAGACTTTCATTGACTTATTTCTGGTATAAAAGTATATCTAAATAAAAAGTTCACCAGAAGAGGCTTTATTATTATTTTTTTTTTTTTTAAATAAAACAAATAGTATGGAATATATTCGATTTCTTTTATTTTAAATTAATGTACACATGATTACGACGCAT